CACATGGACATCCCAATCGTCCACGCTTGAAATGCCGGCATCCCAACAACCAGCATTTCAGGGCCCAACAGACCGATGCCCAACACCGATTCCCACCGCCAACTCAAACTGCGTTAGCTCTGGCGTCCATTCTTGATGCTAGTGGGTGGGACACTAGCCGAACGAGGCACCAAGGGAGGGAGTGAGCTAACGCAGGGCCTAGCAAGGGAAAAAACCAAGCCTTTTAAAACCAACCGAAAAAACCTTCACGGACCATACCCCCCCTATATATGCTTAAAAAACATAAACCCAAGTTACAGCAGTAGAAACGATTTTGCTGTAGAGTCACACTGACCAAACAGGCCCCAAATTCGAACACAAAGCCAATTCCCCATCACAACCGGTAACCAAACATCATTCTTAGGTCATAATGATATGCAAAACACTCTAACAAACATTTGGATGGTTGAAAAAGCAATAGCCAAAACGGTAAAAGCAGTGGTTCTCAGAAAGCCCACACTTCAAAAACCACAAGTGAAAAACAAAAGTCATGCCACCAAAGTTTGAGTCCGGATATAAAAGCTATATGAACTTGTTTAATGGCATTTTGCTTTGCAAACAACAAAAAACAAATAGAAAAGAGCGGGAATGTAAGGATGCCACAACGAGGGTACAAAAAAGAGGAACCATTGCAAACAAAGGCGTAGCCCACCATATTGAAAAGGATTTCACGGCAAGTTTTCGCTGCTACAGCAAGGATCAAACCTAACCATGAAAACCAAAGACATCTCACACACAATTACGCATCGCAAACTTCATACACCCCGCACAACCCACCAACAGACCAAAGGCCAAGTTTTTAACTCGGCAGTCAGCCCACCAGCGAATGCCTGGTGCCCACGATAGTCGCATCGAATAGTGCCATGCAAGACCGAACAAAACCGTAGCAAACCGTCCAACCCACTTAGAGCCACCATAAAACCGACTGCCATAGCCCCCGGCAACTTGTCCTTCCACCTGGGTGGGTGTAATGGAAGAACCAAACGCCGGATGGGAAGGAGCTAGAGCAAGACCAACACACCTAACATCGGCACACCGAGCCAAATTAAAGAAATTTGGCTAACCGAAATCCAACCATCCAAGAGTCGGCTCAGCAAGGACGAAAGAGCCAACCATCCCCGTTCGAAATGCCGGCATCCCAACAACCGGCATTTCNCCAATGGGCCAAAACTTTCCGGAAAAGAGACAACAGATAGTGTACCACAAGCGGTGCCATGGCGTCAATCGAATGCCAACCCTTTGGTTCCCACACGAGCAGGCACACGACAGAACTCAGCAGTTGGAACGTAAGGATGCCACCGAAAGGGTACAGAACAAAGGAAACCATTGCAGACAAAGGCGGAACCCACCAAATTGAAAAGGCTTTCACGGCAAGTTTTCGCTGCTACAGCAAGGATCAAACCTGACCATGAAAACCAAATACATCTCACACACAATTACGCATCGCAAACTTCATACACACCGCACAACCCACCAACAGACCAAAGGCCAAGTTTTTAACTCAGCAGTCAGCCCACCAGCGAATGCCTGGTGCCCATGACAGTCGCGTCGATGAGTGCCATGCAAGACCGAAGAAAACCGTAGCCAACCGTCCCACCCACTTAGAGCCAACCTAAAACCGACTGCATTAGCCCCCGACGCCTTGTCCTTCCCCCTGGGTGGGTGCATTGGAAGAATCAAACGCCGAATGGGAAGGAACTAAAGCAGGGCCAACACACCTAACATCGGCACACCGAGCCAAATTAACAAAATTTGGCTAACCGAAATCCAACCATCCGTGAGTCGACTCGGCGAGGACGAACTGGACAACCATCCCCGTTCGAAATGCAGGCATCCCAACAACCGGCTTTTCAAACGCCACCAAAAACCGTAGCCAACCATCGCACCCACTTATAGCCACCGTTAAACCGACTGCATTAGCCCCCGACGCATGGTCCTTCCACCTGGGTGGGTGGAACGGAAGAACCAAACGCCGGAAGAGAAGGAGCTAGTGCAGGGCCGACACACCTAACATCGGCAAAGCCAAATTAGAGAAATTTGGCTAACCGAAATCCAACCTTCCGAGAGTCGACTCAGCAAGGACGGAATAGCCAACCATGCCTGTTCAAAATGCCGGCATCCCAACAACCGGCATTTCAAAGCCAACAAAACCGTAGCCAACCGTCCCACCCACTTAGAACCACCATAAAACCGACTGCACCAGCCCCCGACGCCTGGTCCATCCACCTGGGTGGGTGTAATGGAAGAACCAAATGCCGGAATGGAAGGAGCTAGAGCAGGGCCGACACACCTAACACCGGCACACCGAAAACCGACCTCGGAGTGTCAGCCCCACAAGGACATCCCAATCATCCTCGCTTGAAATGCCGGCATCCCAACAACCAGCATTTCGGGGGCCAACAAACCGATGCCCAACACCGATTCCCACCGCCAACTCGAACTGCATTAGCTCTGACGTCCG